AATACACCAGACCTTTCTGGGTGGAGTCTATGGGCATTTCACTGCAACCTGGAGTACTTAAAACAACCTTCTTTTCAGCCCTAAGCTAATCAGTTATATCCAGAGAATATGAACACCATTTTATTTGCCTACTTGAGGGAGATGCATAACAGAGAAGAGGAGACTATGCTCTTCCTTAGGGCCATAGTAGCCTTTCATCCCATAGCAGTTCCAACTTGCAAAGACATTACTGGTCTTAAATGTATTAAGTGTGAAATTCTCAGTGGAATGTATTACAGAAGTCTAAACGTTATGATCATATCTAATATTCTCTCTATTTTAAGTACCTCTATTTAGTATGTCAGCTTACTCTATTCATAGGATATGTCACTGGCATTGCTAATTTTGAGTATCTCTCTTCCATGTAATGAATGCTTTCAATTGTTTTTCCACTTGCTTGCACTTTTCCAGTTGGCATCACATCTTGTTTCACACCCTTACTTCTAACTTCTTTTTTGCTATGATACCATGGTAATTCTGAGATTAAAAACAAAGATAGATCATTCTCATTCTCTCTCTCTCCCTCATATCTGAAGCACTTTCTACTTTGGCATACATATGCATTTAATAAAATATTGTATTGCTTTTCCTTTTTCTGTACAACCAATAAAGTTGCTGTTAAGTAAGACATGATCTAATAGTTCTATAAGACACTGACCACTTTCTCAGAATTCACTGCTTTGGATAGATTTAATTCCTTGTAACTGGAGTTTTACGATATGACACCTAATCTCTAATTCTGACATGGAACTAAATAATGCTACATTTGGTATCATGAATTCTTACCATAAGAACACAAATTATTAGGTATTTAAATATACTTGATTACTTTTCCATAGAGAATGGGCATACCAAGATAAAAATGACTTAGTTTGAGAACCAATTACCCACTCTAGCACAGAGTCAACTCTATATAATTTCAAAGACTTACATAATACCCCTATTCAGCAAATTATTTGACCATGTTTAAAGTGCTTTGCTGACTCTCAAATACACTTAACACTTGGTTCTGTGTTTCAACATATTGACTTACATACCACATCCTCCTACAGCTAGTGCCTTACAGAGTGGAAAAGGGTGGTACAATTTATCAAAGAAATCCTTTGAAATTTTCAGGTGTTACTGATGTAATTTTATATCATGTTTCAGTGTCCTTGGAATACTACAGCGTAAAACATATGTAGATGTAGGTTGTAGAAAAGTCAGAAAAGACCAGAGATTGCAAAACACTTCACCCTCCAAACAATGCTACAAACACTGTGCTATAGAGGAAGCACACGCAATAGACTTGGAATGTAATACCTACAATTTGGAAACCATTTTTCCTGAATTTTTGGGGTAGACTGAGAAGTATTTAAGGACCTTCTATAAGTGTTGTCAAAAAGTTATCAGAAAATGAAACTGTAAGACAGAATGATCACAGAAACCGTATATAACATATCTAATTAAATAAACTTGCTATCATGTATATACTGCTGCTCTGGTGAGATCTAATCGCTTTTGAAATATGGAAGACAAAGAGGGTGATTACTTGGCTTAGAGAGGAGATAACACTAATGACAGCTTTTTAGTTTTGCATATGCTTATAAAGGCTAAATCAAAATTTTTACTTCCCTACAATAAAAATATCCCCCTCCATTGACATGACTCTTCTCTGTGCCTGAGATGTAGTTGTTATAGTTATACCCACATGTTTTTGGCTCAATAGCTTTTTATGATCACACTCCATTGTAGCTGGTTCTTTTAAAGACTAAGTCACAGTCTTGCATAAAATGGGAATTTTAAACTAATCTCTAATATGGCTAGAATGAGTAATCAAAATCATGCATTTCCAGGGAAATGGATGATGAAGAGAAATTTGATCCTATAAGAACTGGTATCTGTAATTAGTCCTTATGAAACCACAAAGCATATTGCCCATATGGAAAGATGGATGTTCATGACATGGCGCCAAACGTACATGCTGTACCCAGCACTTAGGGGATGATTTGGGGGGAGAGGAGGAGAGACAGAAGAGTTACTGAACAGAAACGTGGGTTTGTCTCCCATATTTATGAATTCCCCAGCATTACTTCACAGTTTTCTAGATAGAGGGAAAGTGCGTTGACACAGTCAATGGTGGCCATGCAAAGATGATTTCTAAGAGAAACATAAGCTATCCCACTGAAAAACTTATAACTGGAGGAGGAAATTTTATAAGATTTGTTTTAATGAGTAGGAGGTTGGAAAAAAAATTGTTGATAGGTTGCTTCTGAAGGGTTTCTTGCATCTGTGATTGTAATACTAATCCCTGAGAGAGCTGCAATTCATAAGATAAATTGGTAGCCATGTACAGGAAAGCACAATCAGAAATGCTTCTGTACTGGACTGAAAACCTGGAACACCAAGACTGAGGAGAAATTTCACAGACTCTGCTCTGTTGAAATAAAATTTAACTATATTAAAAAAAAAAATCTCTGTTTAAGGCATGTGGCGATACTTCTTAATCAAAGTTTGGCTTTAAGAACACAGTATTGTCCCCCACCTCTTTCTTTTATTGGTCAGTTAAGTAAAGTAGTTATCTTATTCAAGTGCCTGTCCAGATCTTTCCCTCTATGGCAGGCAGACAAACAGACTTAACATAATGTGACAGGTACAAACTGAAATAAAAAAGAAGAGATATGTAAGATAACACAGAACAAAGCAGCCCTCACTTAAATTTTGTTGCATTTAGAATATGACAGTAGTGGTTACATTTTGAGAAGCAAATTAGAGAAAAATCAGATAGCTGAAGTGTTCTAGCTCAGAGACACACGATTTTGGATGTTGGTTCATTTTTCAGAGTTAAGACTGAGCTGTTTCACATTTAAAGGAGGACTTAAATTTAGTTTTATATAGCTAAATCTGGATGGAAGCCTGTTCCCTAGAACAGCTCCATGCTGATAAGTACCTCTGGTTCCTACTTTCTTTCCTTCTGTTCAGCAATGCTTGGCTGCTTCAAGAGGAGGGTTGTAGCCTAGTCATACAATGGCCTACAGCCTGGCAGTGAAGTCAGGAGCTCTGAATACAAGCCTCTCAAGGCTGAGGAGACATCAGGACCTAAAACTTGCACCTCCTGCCACTAGATTCTTCTGCAACAGAGGGTGAGAAAAGAATGGTGATTGACATCAACAGCTGGCTTCCTCATGACACTTCTGCTCCATTACAAGCTGGTTCACAAAAAAGGGCATAATTGCTGGATAAAAAATGGATGCTGGCTTCTCCCACTTCCTATTGGCCCCTATGTATTCAGACAGTTATATACTTAGTTTGGGAGAGGTGAACAGGATTTTGAAGCTTTTGAGGCACCTCTTTCTACGAGCTATATAGAGAATTTGCACTCTAGCTGTAGGAAGACTGGGTATTCTTTCCTTCTCCTTTCTTTTGCTGCTAACATTTAGGTGTCTAAAATACAGCTGTGCCCAGGCCCAACTAAGGAAGCTAAGACTTCGTCCAGAAAATCCTATATGTTCATCTATACTATATGTACTAGTGCATCTTGACGTGTACTAAAGAGGTCTCCAGTGTCTTGAAATGGTAACACTGAACAAGTCACATGATATTTCTCTTCTATAATGGTTTTAGCCAGTATGGAGGATTTCAGTTGAAATATTGGGAAGCATCTGCACCATCTAGCTTTAGCCATCCAACTTTCATGCTTTGAATTATCCTCTGGAAGTAAAGTTTATCTCTCTCCAGTGATGACATCAGAATTTCAGACTCCTAAACAAAGGTGCTGTGAACTGCATCTTTCTAGAGTCCTGAAGAAGGATCAAAAACATAATGAGGATAACTCCTGAGTAAGTCTGATATTCTCAGGCAATGGATGAAGCATAGTCTTAGGATTTTTTGAAGAGAGAATATTTGATAAATTTAAATGCTAGTTGTACTGGTTTTGGAAGGAATATCCTTGCAGTGAAGTTCTTTCCCTTTCTTTGAAATGTCCTCTGAGAAGCAGAATTCCATAAGTCAAGCTGCTCCCAGAATTTAGTTTGGAAGCCTCCATTTTAAAGGGTTGAGTGCATCACCTGATACTAACGATTATAAAGACTCACTGTCAAAAGTAAAAGACTACCGTAGGCAATGGTAAGACAAAGTATTTGAGTCTTTGGTCCTCACATTTTAAACCTTTACAGTTTGTTGTCAAAGCAGGATTTCTATGAGATAATTCATGACAAGCAATATTCAAAATTTTGCACAGAAGCTTAGCTACTATATAATGATGCTGCTACTTCTCACACAAATTATTCTAACACTGGAGCTGAGAACCTACCGTAGTCGGAATCGGTGACTGGTTGCAGTGTGCAATCAGCTTCCAATACTAGCCAAAAGCAATAGCAGACAAAACCCCCTATCAGTTCATGTAGTAATTCAAACCATAGAAACATCCTTATTACAGCAAGCAGTTAAGACAATACAAGCTTCTAGGTGGACATATTTCAGAGTTGCTTATTTTGATTTAACGAGAATATATTCTACATGGATCTAGGCTTGTGTAAGTTAATAGTCTAGCCTGGAAATAGTAGTAGAAGTCTTTGGAGATTCAGCCAAAAAGACTGACTAAAAAGACCTGAACAAGCAGCAGTCATGAAGCAAAGTAATATGGAATCTATAAAGAAAACAGTAGCTTCACAGATATTACTAGTTGTCATGCTACAAATACAGCCTTTAATAAATCATCTTCATATATATAATTTCAAAACAAGAAAGTACATCTACTCTTTTAGTCTGAGGCCAAATCCCGATGCACCTGAAGCTTTCACTAATAATAATATAGCTTTATGCATGTTTCAGAATTTGGTCCCAGAAAATATCTCAGGAAAGAACTAAGAGAATCTGTGATTAAATGGAATGAGACATCCAACTACTGAACTTTTCTGTTTGCATATCTTGCAGAGCTTTCTGCAAGACCATCTTAAACTAGAATATATGGAATTACTTACTGTGCAAAGTGTCTCAAATGTCTTTTCGGAGACAAAGGATCCATCAAGACCAAAAAGAAAAATAGATGCGTAAGAAAGCATCCCTCCAAGGATAATAAGGTTGTTCATGTAGGGACTGGACATCTTTATTAGTCTATGGACAAAAGGTGATAGTGCATTAAAGAGGAAAGGATTACTGCTAGGCTATTAGAGCAATAAAGAAGAGCTTTTTGTAACCAGGTAAACAGATAACCCTTCTTGTAGAACTCCATGAAATCTATAGGCATGCACACTATTTGCTGCTTTATGAAGCCTAGCATTGTTTCAGGTTTTTGAATGTTTAGTAAAAAGACGTCCTATTTTACTGATGGATTAATTGGCTAGGGTTAATGTTAATGGCAGACAGAGAAACATAAATACAAAAATTACACTTTCCAGACAGTATAAAAGAACTTGTCTTAACAGATAGAAAATCTGTTTCAATGTGAATATATTACACAGTGATTTTAATTAAATAGTTCTAAAATATCATCTTTCTACAGTTTTAACATTTTCCTTATACATACATATATATAGATGACAGACTCTACAAACATGGCATTTAAATACCAAAGAAGTAGTGAAAGGTCCTTTCCAACCCAAACTATTCTACGATTCTGTGATTCTATGATAGAAGTAACATGAATGCCTTACTTCTGATTTCTGTTTTTGATGTTGAAGAACAAGAAAGCACTGGCCATTATCATTCCTAGGATGGTGAGGGCAGAGAGGATGCTGTAGAGAGGCAGGGAGATCTTGCGTAGCTCCTCTTGTATGATTGTTTTGTCCTTTGGAGGCTCAAGTCCTAGAATTACAAGAAGAAAAAAAGGCTAAAGCTCAGCTAGATGTAGAATTTCTGTAAGAAAATTTGCTTCTCCTAAGTACTATACCTCATTTAGCAGATCTAGCAACTGTGAATCACATCAGTAGCTGATGAAATCATTGACTTTGACAGGCATGTGTTAGTCACATTGATTGACAAGAAGGTTTGTATTTCTGGAGCAGGTAAACATCCTCTTTGGAAGAAAAACACAACAAAATCCTAATGCAGAACCCCATAAAATATATGCTAACTATCCTCATTTTAAAGTGTAAATAAACACTAAAATGCATACTATGACTGTAAAGTTTACCAGGAGGTTATGCTTTCCTGAAGCAAGTGACAGAGCTATGAGTAGAAAACAGAGGGCATCGTTTCTCTGCGTACTGTCATTATCACCAGGGCAAATTCAAATGGCCTATCTAGATATGCACCACAGCTGGAGACCAGCCTTGGTGTGGCATCACTGGGGAGGGGACTGACAGCCCCGGGGGGCTAAAATGGGGTCCTGGGCTGTGGGCAGGGTGGGGGAAGTCCCAGGACGGGGCGGGGAGGCAGGGCTGTTGGTGCCCTCAGGACTCTACAGAATGGAACAACATGGAAAAAGGGGTAGCAAAGGTTTTATAGGGACAGACCCACTTTGCACGTCCCTGCAGATGTGGACTTGAATGTCTGAACTTAAAAACTATGTTTAAAGCCATGTGCTTGATCGACAGTCAGCTCCCACTAGTTAAAGGCTTCTCGGTTTAATGAGAAGAATTACTTTCCGACAAATGCAATAAAGCTCTGCATTCCCTACTTCCCGCACTCCATTTTACCTGCTTACTAAATTTTTCCTTGGTGCAGGGGATTGGCAAAAGGCCTTCTGCATCACTGTCTTCCTTCAGAAAGGGATTTGTGTGCCCTACAGTGCCTGAGCCTGTCCTTTCACATCAGCTCTCCATGGGGCTGTGAGAATGACCACACGGGGCAGAGCAGCTTCGTTTCACAAAACGGCTGCACGGGCAGAGCTCTGTGGACCCACTGATCACCGAGCTGTAAATAGCTGACTAGCAGCTGCCATAGCTAAATTTTGCGTTCACTCTTCTGCTTTGCACCTAGAAGAATATTCAAGGCTTTATACAAGTAGAGAGAATTTTATCCATACCAGTCAAGGTGAACCAATTCAGACAATGGAAACTTGTTACCCTTTGGTCTTTATGCCCAATATTTCTGCAAAAAAAATTTCCTTTCAGGTGATCACAATAAAGTGACAGTCAAGGGACCATTTGCTGATTTGATATTGGAGAAAAGTACCTGAGATGTTCCCCTTTTCCCCTTCCCACCTCAGAGCGTACCTTTACCGTGCATGACACTTCACAAAATTAGGCAGCAAGTAACAAGCCAAAAATACAATAAAGCACATGCCTGAATTAAAAGAACTAATATTAAAAAAAAAGAAACCACCCTGCTGTATCTAAAATATACAGAGTATATTGATGATTTGTACTTATTAAACAACCAGTGATTCTATAAAATGTATTTTCTTATTTGTGCAATGGCCATTCAATTCTATTGCTTCTAATATTATGAATTACTGTTCTCTTGTGTGCAATTTTATGCAATGGTTTAAACAGGATTATATTTACTACTCTTCATTTCAAATACTTAAAGTTACTAAGTTTTTTATACTGCCTGGAAGACATAACAACAGTGTCCTCCACACCATATACATGACTGCCTCAATGAAAATTTAAGGTGTGTAAATGGAGAAGGTTCACTGTGACTCACATAATGCATCTTAAGACAAACCTAAGACAAGCTATGGGTGGAAGGAACACCAGATGCAGTCAGAACAAGAACTAGGAGTCTGATCCTGAAAAAAGCCTGAACAGAGAATTTTTCCCATCATCTACTGTCCATAAAGGCATGGAAATACGAACAAAACCTGTCTCCTGTTACTTGGTTCATCCTGCTTATATTCTCTGGAAATTAGTGGTATTGAATCAGTATTCAATTATACCATCAGTTCCTCCCTGCAGCAAAAATAATCTGCTGGGTCCCAGATTTTAGCAACTGGGACAGATTCTGTACTCTTGATTTCCGAAGTCTCATTCTCCAGACAGATGTGAGAAGTGCATGTAGCTGTGCTCTTTTAAGTGCAGCAAAGGATACCAAAAGGAAAGGTGGAAAGCTCCAGCAGATGGACAAGCAGTCATGGATTAGATCACTGCAGTGAAACTCCAGTCATGCTCATGCAAACCTTGGGTGCTGGGACACTGCAGGCAGATGTAGTAGAGCACGGGCTACAGCAGCCTGATACTCATCCCCCACTCCCAGGGGAAATCACACAGATCTCATGAAGCTGACTTTACCTTCCATTACTGAATTGCACCATAGCAGAACTCAAGATTAAATCTTAATTATTAGCTTTAAAAAGAATGTATATGTCTATATTCAACAGGAAAGTCCCTTAAAAATTCATTTCAGCTGATATCTGGCTGCCATGATGATATGCTCAGAAAGGCGTGGGCATGCCCGCACTCCAACTACTGTGAGGGCAGAGGAAGTCCTGATGTTAACTTTGGAGCAGCCTGGGGAAAAAAAAGAAAACCTGCAGGAAGATACAGCAACACAGGCTATATGCCTGCTGCGGACCTTGGGAGTGCTGCTGGGCTGAACACCCTCTCTAGCCCTGTTTCACATGGGCCATCTTAAAGCTAGCCTTGGTATTCTGAAACCATATTTTCTAACTGCCTAACAGACACCTCCCAAAGAAAAACAACCACCTCCTTCTTGATTGTGCAAACATAGCATACGAGAGCATCCTTCAGGTGAAATGAACTGGGGGAGTAGGAAATAGAGATGAAATTAGAACACTATTGGTTGGGGGAGATGAAATAGAATACATATCTGCAGCTTGTTGAGATATCAAAGAACATTTGTGTACACATGTAAACTTGAATTTGTCCTGGTCACTGGAACAAAAAACAATTATACAATATCAAAACCTTGTGATTTTCTTTTCAGAATTCTCCTTCTATTTTTTTAAGCACAGCTCAGTTCCCTTTCTCTTTGTACAGTGTCATAGCTTTTTTTTATTAAAAATCCTAAAATGGTTCTTTAACAGCATGCAGTCTTACAAACTACATACAGCTCTCCATGTCATACCTGTACCTCTTCCTAGTTTTCTCTCCTACCTTGGAACCTGATGCTGTTGTTGATTATTTCCAGTTTGTCTTCCACAGCATTGTACTCTCCCACCTTCACTTCCTTCCTTTCTGCAGAGAAACAAACAAGAGTGATTGTTTATGGCAGTTTATATGTTCTCAATTATGTAACTGATTTTGCCTTCTCTTTTGACAGTACATCAAAAGGAAAAGAAATATGCCTGAAGTGTATGAATTATTAAAGCAGAATGCCAGACAGCTAACATAATTAAAAGAAATATTTCTGCTTCTTTAAAGAAACGCAAAGTATTTTTAAGAACTCATTTGCATAATCAGGGAATTGTTGTTACTGGGCACAGGCATCTCCAGCTGAAAGATCACACACTTACTGGCTCACACCGCGTAGGACATTTTGCTGGGAGAACAGACATGGCTAAATCACACGTTCCACTCTCATTTAAACCACTAGGACATCTTGCTTAGTGAAGTATTTCCCAGGGGAGTTGTAGTGGCAGGCTCCAGCCAGTATGGAGTAGACTGGCTAGTTAATAGATATGCTGGGAATCTAATCTCTTATTTTGACCGGGAATTAGCAACTCATTAGTATCCTGACTGCAAAACATACTATGTTATATAGTTAAAGCCAATGTGCACTTGAGCTAAAATTTTACTGTTACTCTCATCTGCTATTTTGGGATTATCGTCACATATATGGTCTTCTTGTACCTAATGAAATAGAGTAACGCAGATATAGGAACTTAATTTGTTTGGCTGCTGCCTTGGCCGCAGTAGCTGGAACTCCGGCACACATTTGTCCCACACTTCTGATGACATCTGGCATCAATTAATTTCTGCTATTTCTGTTGGGGTTTTGGTATGTCTTAGAAGTGCAGAAACTTACAAAATTATCACTTTTACACTAAAACTTTCACATTTTGATCAGAGACTTGCAAACCACAGGCACATTGGCTAAAGTTTTCTTCGATGAGCTGGCTCAGCAGAGCCAAAAATTTCCTTTCAGGCCTCTATATCTGGGCATGCACAACCCAATTTACATTTAAATTCTGAGATCATGACCCTATTTGTGACACTGATTTTGGGAGCTGATGATCTTGAACTAGATGGCAAATTTGAAAAGACTGTATTTCACCCAATAGCTCCACATTAACCTTTTCTCCTTTCTCACTCAAAGTGATTGTGCCTGTTTAGCTCTGCCGAATGGAGCAGCTAGCTCCATTTCAGTAAAATCTACAGGCTGATTAATACTAATCTGAGAGCTCACAGGAGGCAAAAATTTTCCTTACGTAAACCACACTTCTTATTGTTAAAATTGTTTACACAGAATTGTAGACTGAGCTACAAATCTGGCAGAGATACCTAGGCATTTGCTATACCCCCATCAAAAGCTGGAGTTTGCAGTTCTGAAAACTGATTTGCCTTTCACATGAGCATGATCCACTTGCGGGGCCCCTAGACTAGTTTGGAATAAAAGTGCAATCCTCTGGTCTCCAGCAGCAGTTTCACAAAGCCCATCCACACAGCATTATATAGTCTTAGGAGTAAATATAAGTTTATACTTTCTGTCACCAGCTGAAAATTCTCTGTGAAATAGATATATGCATAAATCCTTGACAGTCTTAAACAATAAAATCTTCCTAGTAGTCATCTAAAAGCTAAAATGGTTACTGCTAAAAACTGAACCAATTCACTTCCATCTGTATTTGTAGCATGACAGCTATTACCTGTAGATCTAAAACATCAAAACACAACCTAGAAGAAGAGAGACAAACACCAGGATGCATACTGACATACAATTTGCGTGTTAGATGCCAGATAGTCCACAGCATCTACTTATACCAAATGGGGAGGACACGTACCTTAAGTGTTGGTCTAGCCACAACTTTACAGCAACAGGCTAAAACCTGACAGCTCTGATGAACAATGAAGAGAAAAGAGTAATTGCTCCACAAACATGTCTGTATGGAGCGGTTACTGGGACTAGATTAGATGCGAGAAGCACGTAATAGGTGGGGAAGCATACACAAAAGAGAGCATAAATCTGTGGTCTACTGATTAAGGTACTGCAATTGAGAAACTTTCTGTGTTTGCTTCATGTGACATACAATGCCATTCTTTTTCAACATTTATAAATTCTTACATGGCTTCCTTTACAGATGAAGTAACACTGAGAATATGCCTATGATGGTAACTGCAGTGTAGTGCAATATAGATGAGGTAGCCTACAGGTAGCTAGCCTGGGTACCAGGAGCTAGCCCTTGTAGGAATGGAGCTCGGTAGAGCTATTCGGAGAAACAAACTTCCTTCCATGGTGGACTGAGCTGAAGAGCAAGACTCTTTTGGACTTAGAAACCCAAGAGTGTGGAAAAAAAAAGTGTTTAGTACCAGGAACCACATTATCAGTGCCTTGTCCCTTACAAATGGGAAAGGACAGTTCATAGAGCGCATGCCAAGGTTTATTGAAGTCAAGAAAAACCATAAAGATATTTGATATCTTAAAGTGGTTACAATTGTGGAAAGTAGTCTATGATGGAAATAAACCATATTTTTATTGAGAGGAAGGATATACTATCCATATCATAGTATGATTACAAGGGTGCTGAGGGGGAGACACAAATAGTCTTTGGGCTCTTTTGTACTCCAGCAAGGAGTACAACTACAGCTGTTGGTTTTTCAGTTCCCCAAGCACAAGTGGTGATCAGTAATAAAGTCACCGCCAAATATTTACTTTTCTATATGCCGTTCCCTCGAGTTCCCTTTGGAAATTCTGAATCATTCAAGTCAGTATACTGTTTGTATAATGTAGCTCATATCTGTCAAAATCTGTGTGTTCAACAAAAGTACAGGAGGAAGTGGAAATCTCAAATAAATACACCAACAAAGTGCTTTACACAATATTCACAATACAGTGTTGGCTTCTTTCTGTACTGTTTTCATTATTTTTAACTTGATCTTTCCATACTCATGATGGAGAGATTGTATTGAAACCCCCGCCAAATAGTAATTAAAGGAAGCAAGAAGGCAGCAGTATGGCGTTCTCTGCTCTCTAGCACAGGCAGCGTAGCTAAGGATGGGGCTGCAGGCTCTACTTTACTTTTCTATATGCCGTTCCCTCGAGTTCCCTTTGGAAATTCTGAATCATTCAAGTCAGTATACTGTTTGTATAATGTAGCTCATATCTGTCAAAATCTGTGTGTTCAACAAAAGTACAGGAGGAAGTGGAAATCCTTCAAATAAATACACCAACAAAGTGCTTTACACAATATTCAGAATACAGTGTTGGCTTCTTTCTGTACTGTTTTCATTATTTTTAACTTGATCTTTCCATACTCATGATGGAGAGATTGTATTGAAACCCCCCTGCTCAGGTTAAAATGGGGAAGAAAAATATGAGGGAAAATATACTTGTTTTGTGAGATAATGTTTGTCCATACCATGACAGGAGTGATGTGATTTTAGAACTTGAATCTGCAGCTGTTCTTTCACACAGGAACAAAAAAAAGCGAAAACTAACCAACCCAAAGAAAACTGGCCCAGAAATAGGTCACTGAAAATTATGTCGATCTAACAGAATTAATAACAACTAAACCTTGTCATTAATTAATTGCCACAGAATAGATTATTGATATAGCCAAGATGAAAGCCTTCTGCCAACAAAGAACTGAAATACTCTTAAAGGTGAATTAAACTGTTTTCTTCTACATGTTTTATTACAGAATTTTATAGTCTACTTTAAGCAACTCCAGACAAATTGATACACTACCATTTAATTAATTGGGCCATATTTTACAAGGTAATGCAACAGATTTTTAATTGCACATCAGGTAGTTACATGTTCTTGTTGAATAAAAGCAAAAGTAATCCTGCAACTGACATCAACTAAGTAGAACAAACTTACCAAAACACACAACAGTGTTATGATTGCCAGTATGACTGATAACCTCTAACACTGAGAATTTTCAGATGAGACTATGCTTAGTTTCAGTTCCTTTCACTCTATGTCATAATTTCCATTTCCACTACATTTTTATAAGTGTACTTATTCACACCTCATGAAGATGGTTTCTACTGAGAGATGTTTAAGGATGAGAGAAAGCACTTGCAATGCGTAAGAGATGGGACAGAATGATTTCCTTGTTTTCCTCTGTGTAGACAATGCTGGCTAGCTCCTAATGACACTAAAACTTTGTCTATATCTAAAGCTTATAGCACCTTCAAGTATACCAGTCTGACTGAAATAGTACAAACAACCCTAGTGGTGATGCAGTTAAGCCAATATAAACACATTTACACTACCATAATCACCAGTATAATTTATGCCTATAATAGTAAGGGCACCCTGAAATAAGACAGTAACCTACGAAGTTACAAAAATATGTATATTGATATGTGAATGCATTCATGAACTCCTACACATCTAGTTGATTATACTGATGTAAAAAACTATGTCTAGCCCACCAGAACAAAGACAAATTAACAGGTCTGCCCTAACATTACCGTGGTGCCCAAACCACATGGCTGTAAATGAGAATTAAGGACATCAAAGCTCTAAATAGCCTACTGTAGCTTGACGCTACTAATACTTTGTTATGTCTGCAGCTCTTTATAAAGTTAGAATTCCATGCAAACTACAAAGACAAACATGTGCAAGTGATGAGTATTCCTTTCCAACAAATATAAAGTACATTTTAAAGCAAATTTAATAATTTACATTCTCCAGATAAGCTAAGCGTCACTGAGGTTTCTCATCTAAAGGACACTTAGGCTATTCTCAACTTAGAAGCAGCAGAAAAAAGACATAATCTATAGCTGAAAGCATACACAGTATTGAGGTCTTAGTTTGTCCTGAAAAAACATTCCTGCATAAGGTGCCGCCTCCATGTCTCCTTCTCCTTGAAAAGTTTTTCAAAATTTTTTTATATAGCTCCTCCTGCTTCTCTACTCAGGAAATTATCACTGTACTCCCTGAAAACCTTCCTCTGACATCGATTTAACAGTCCCTTCTCCCACTCTTTGTCAGCTGCCCCTCTTGCTTAACCATCGTAATTCAGTGGGAGTGATCAGATGCTTAGCACATTAGAAAATCTTGCCAC